ATGTAAGTTCATAAAACAGTAATTTCTTAAGAGTGTTGCCAAATGGATGGCATAATTATGTCACTTTCAATATAATTTAAGGAGAAAGTCCTTGGGAGAAGCCTCAGATCCCCTACAGTGTACAGCATCAGCTTTCTGGATCCTTGGAAGATCACAGAATCCTGGAAAGGACTCCCAGATGCCTGTGATTTAGGGATCACAAATGCACAGTTCAAGGCCTGCTGTAGAGAACCCCTTCTGCCAGTGCCCTTTTATCCAGGGGCAAGTGTCGTGCCTAATGGTTCAGCAGAGGCGTTGGCACATGAGAAAGGGCCAGAAGCTCACAGTGAGGCATTGGAACAAGGGGACTTATACTTGAGGCCTAGTGCCCAACGACCCCTCTGCAGTCCGACTCTGAGGCCTCCAAGCGAGTAACCTCCCCACAGCCTGACTCTGAGGCTTCAGAGCGAGCAGCCTCCCCACAGCCTGACTCTGAGGCTTCTGAGCGAGCAGCCTCCCCACATCCTGACTCTGAGGGGTTTGAACAAGTTGCCCCCCCCCCCGCCTCCTGACTCTGAAGCTACTGGGTAGAGTTCAGAAGAACAGGAAGACGTAACAGTAGATTTAGTGAATGCTCAACTTATGAGAAGTTTGCAGCATATAGACCAATTGCGTCTGGACCAATTGTGGCCACAGGAGAGAGGTTTGTCCCACCATGCACGGAAAGATGTAACAGAAGATTGAATCCCACGTGAACTTCCCAGGCAAGTCAGAAAGGAGGGGGCAACTGAGCTGCAAGGAGCTCACTGCTAGAGCTTATCTGTTGCATCGTAAATCTTGTACCAAGTAGCAATAAAAGTCTTTAGTTTTATTGCCGGCTGCTGTGTGAGATGTGAGATTGTAGATGTGAGTTACGGCCTCACGACAGCAAGCACCATCCTGTGTTCCCCTGTTAAATAAAATAAGCACAAGCCATATGCTATGCTATGCAATGCAGTGGTACCTCAGCTCACGAACACATCAGTTCACTACCAAATTGGGTCACAACCAGAAATTTCGGAAACAATTTGCCTCAGGTTGTGAACTCCACATCAGTTGATGACCATGATCACAGCCATATTCCCTGCACAAGCATGAGCACGATCACGATCACGCCCGTCTTTCCTGCATGACCACAATCGTGATCACGGCCATCTCCCCTCACCCAAGCATGATCACTATTGCACAATTATTATTTGGACTCCCCCTCCAAACAATAACCTCCCCGCAACCTAGGTTGGTGTTCTCTACTGTACTATACTTTGTTACTCGGTTGTTCTTTGTTACTTTGTTTCAAATTTTTGTGATTAAAAAAATATTTACAGAACGGATTAATCTTATTTACATTGAAGCAAAATAAAGAAACAAAAAAATTCATGCACACTATGGGTGCATTTTTTAAAAGTTTGCTAGGTGGCTACAGCTCCTACCATGGGTCATTTTGGCAATTTGAAGGGGTTTATCCATGGTTGTCAAAACAAAGATTTTAAAAAGCCATCTGTAATGCCAGAGATTGTAATCTTCAGACAAGAGGAAAGCAAGGAGAATGTTAGGGGGAGTAGAAATAGCTCGCTATCACTGTGTGGGATTCCCATTCAGTAACAGGTGCCCCAAAGTGCCATGCAAGCACTTACATAGCTTGGGAAGAGCATCAAGGGGGTTCTGCCACTCCTGCTAACAAGCTCACCAGCCAGTTCCTGGAAGCCACAGCACTGCTGTCTAGCTTCGGATGACACAACAGACCACTGTGGGTCCAGCAACCCCAGGTACAAACCATGAGTTGTCAGGTTGGCTTGTTGCCCACAAGCCAGCCACCTTGCAGGAAATGGCCCCAGTTCACACAACATGACATCCCACCGTTAATGGGTTAACATGTCAGGCAAACCCAGTAGAAGAAACCTAAGAAGGGAGAGCCAAAGGAAGGTCCTGAAATTGCCTATTAGCAGCTCCTGTTAGCACAGACTGTGTGGGTACATAGGTCTCCACTGTAGTGAATCATACTTTAAACTTAACCTATACATATAAATTAACAAATTCAGTGCCAATCGGTATCCTTGTTTCATCCTCTCATTAGGTGCTGGATTTCCTCTTCTCTGGCAAGGGGTCCATGGCCACACATGGTCTTTTAGGAATGCTAGGCATGCTGGTTTTATAGAAATAGTTGATAAAGGAGAGTCCATACCACAGCAAATGCCAAAGCAAAGCAAAGCAAAGCAAAGCAAAGTTTCCCCTTTATGTGCAGTTCCAGACCCAGGTCAAGGGCCTTTAAGCTTTACCATACTACTGTTAACATGAACAGAATCTGAGTGGGGGTAGTAAGTAAATATTTCATAGCATAGACTTCTCACAATGAGCTAGCTTAATTTTCTAATGACCAGGTGTCATATCTGTCTGTAATGAATATGAAGGATTACAATAATGGAAAAACTGTTTGCTGATCATGGTAGGCAGTGGCATATTGGGGATCTTTTCACTAAGGTAAACCTACTAATGGAAACTTGCAATGGATGGGCAAGTTTAAAGCTTCTCTTATATATTCCATGTTTATTATGTTAACATACACTCACAAATGAGTTCAAGCACACTTCTAAACAATGCAGGGAGTTGTAGGAGTTCTGTCTAAACATGCATAGGATTGGATCCAGACTTAATCATGCTTAGAGTACATCTGCTGAAGTCAAGGGAGCAGCTTAGTCAAGACTAATTTAACTCCTATATATCTGAACGAGCCTACTGGACTTGTGGCTAATTCAAGAATCAATCATAATGTACAAAACAGTGAAGGGAGAAATAAGCATCAGCAGTAACAAAATCAGTAAGCTACAGGGGCAGAGTCATCCTAACCCTGTGCTCCACTTTCTGGCAGAAGTTAGCATGTGGTGGGATGGGACGTCTTCCTCATCTGCCCCAGTGTCTCCAGTTCCACACACTGAGAGCTGCCTAGGCATTTACTACTGTAGTTTTTAAAATGGCTTTTAATTGTGTTAATTTAAATAAATGTGTTTTGGAGTTTGAGTTGAAATTGCTTTCAACAATATTTAACATTGTATTTAAATGTGTTTTAAATAATGCATGTAAACCATTTAGAGATTAATATAAATGCATATTTATAAATAACAAATATATATATAAATTATTATTATATAAATAGTGAATGATGATGGTGACATAGCAACAAAAATCCTGCTGCAGAGACTGAGCTCCAGCCAGTGGTAAGCTCCAAATTTTGATATTCTGAGGATGGTGTTTGCTTACCCTGCTTCTGTTTGATGCTCCAGGTTAAGCCCCTGAAATGCATCAGCCTGGAGTTAGTGTAGGAAACTTCCCTCCATTGACCTCAGTGTGGGATTACATTTTTAAAAAGGATTACCCAGAAAAAAAGGTAAGATCACCCCATCTCCCACTCACCTCTTCACTCCCCACACCCTCCCTAGGTAGGGTTGTTCTATCCCTGGCTGTTAAGATCCATGCTCAACTTCAAAGGAAAGAGGAATGCATTTCCAACAAAAGATGAAGAAAAATCAGACCAAACATAGTTCATACATAAGCAATGCCACAAAAGCTACCTTTCCAACAAGTCAGTCATAATCATGAATATTGATAGAGTTCAATTAATACAAATATACCTTATCCCAAATAATAAAAGTCACAAATCATTTAAAACTCCAAACTGTCATTTTCAGTAAACTGAAACTGGTTAAGAAGCAAATTGTGCATATCCTGGGCTTGATCAACAATGAGTAACCTGAAGAGAAACTCCCAACAAGGTGGGATATCAAGAAGATGCTATGTCATGTACTAAGAGTCCCTGAAACAATTCTTTGAGAGCTTTCCATTCTTCCTATTCTTTATAATGTAACTCATTGTCATGTTTGACAAACAGCTGGTAAAATGATACCACAATAGGATCCAGTTATTTTCTGTGAGCTTCCTGATGTTACAGCTGGGCAACTTGGGACCCTCAAGATGTTGCTGAACTTCCACTTCCATTATCTCTCACCATTCGCTTTGCTGGCTAAGTCTGAGGAAGTTAAACAACATCTGGAGGACAACAAATTGCCCTTAGTTGGGCTCGTGCATCATGCTTCCAAGCCACCATGGTTTTCCTGTTGCACTTGCTAGAAGTGTCAGAGTCCCGGAATTCCAGTCGCAAGAAATGCACACCTGGATTCACAGGGAGACAGATTTCATGACAAACCTCAGCAGATTTATTAGTTTGAGCCCTCAGGTACCCTCTGCAGAGACAAACCTTACGAACAACACTGCCAGGTAGAGGTTGAAACCAACTACAAACTTCCAGAACATATACAGAGTGTTTTCTAGGTTCTGTGTCAGATGACATAGCTGCAGGGCAGGTGATGACAAAATAAGGGGAACACAGTCAAAAGAATGTGAGAGATCTGCAGAGGAGACGTAATACAATAGCATTGATTACAAGAGATTGACATAACAATAATGAGTCATTTAGTCTTGGGTATCCGTTCGCACGTGAATTAATCATGCCAGGCTCTTGCTACTAGCAGATTAGCAGCACAAAGTTTCAATGCAGTAAACTTTTACAAATGAATGTAGTAGCTGCCTCAGGTGCCCTGGAAGAGTTCCGATCTCTTAAAAGTAACGGTGATGCTAAACAGTAATCTGGCTTGGAATTTGATGCTTCCTGAGAAAGGCTCGCAGGTTCCATGTCACAACACACAGGCACTGTGAAGGGTTGACGGGGCCCTCCATCTCCTACTCGGGACCAAGCCAAGAGACGCGCCGTAGCCAATGAAGAGATGGTGAAGCCGACACCGGGGGCAGCAGGAGAGCCTGCGATGGGGCGTGGGGCAGGGAGCTGTGCGCTGCGTCCCCAGGTGCGCAGGGGCATCTCCCTGGAAGAGAGCAACGAGGGAAGGGGACGGAAGGGGCCTGGTGCCGGCTGTATAAAGAGGAACGCGAGGAAAGGGGGTGGACGTGAGGTGGAGAGGAGGGCGGGAGGGCTGAGGCGGCGGCAGCAGCAGCAGCAGCAAGAGGAACAAGGCGGTAGCGGAACGCGGCTTGGGAGGCAAGGCGGCAGCTTCAGCCCCACCGGCTGGGGCAGAGGCAGGAGTCCAAGGGAGGACGCAGTCCACCCTTCTCCCTGGGAAGAGGGGTCCCAGCGAGGGAGATCGGCCCGGGGAGAGCTGGAGAAGGTGAGAGAAAGTGCCCCGCGGTGCGCACGGAGAGGAGCCGGCCAGGAAGGGGGTGCGCAGGTGAAAGCTGAAGCTGCAGAAGCGGGCGGCAGCATTGGAGGCGGCGCTCCGGGCCCGAGCAGCGGGCGCCCGGCACAAGAGAGACGCCCCCCACCTCAAGCGGGACTCTGTGAAAAGCGGCCGGGCGGCTCTGCAGTCTCTGGAGCCATTCTTACGTTAAAGGTGTCGCATAACTGGCCAGGACTGCGCACTTGGATGGAAGCAATGAAGCCGGGGAGGTTTAAAGTTCCCCTCCCCGCTGACTCTACAATAGGCGCATATATGCAACCTTTTCTACCAGGATTTATTCTGGATTTCCTAACAGAAGCGACGCAGGAAACCTAGCCACGCTGGGCTGATCGGCTACACACAACCAGAAAAGCCAACTCCAGGGTCTCCAGTGCCATTTTCATCTTCCTGCTCCCCCCACCCCAAGCTGCACGCCTGCTGTTGTACCATTTAGCTCAGTGGTAAAGCCTGGTGGTTTGCCGCCGAATGTCAGAAGCAAGCCACTACACCACCTTGGTGGAAAAACGGTTCGATTCAGTTTGTTCTCACGCTCTCAGTCTACCACATCTCACAGGGATGTTGCTGCGAGGATAAAATGGACTGGAGGAGACCTCTGTAAGCTTGCCTTGGCTTCCCTGTAAGAGGGGAAAAGGTGGGATATAAATGCAGTGTAATAATAAGAGCCAAACGTTTCATAGTTTAACTACATTGTTTGTGAAGAAATGCTTTCTCTTGCCTGCCCTGAATCACCTACCAAGCAGCTTTTCTCTAATGACCCTGGGGTCTAGTATCCTGAGAGAAGGAATCATGCAAAATTATGCATGGTGTGGAAAAAGTGGACAGAGAAATAAAAAGGTCCGTGCATAATGTTATACAACTCTATCATCTTCTCCCTCACACATAGCCACAATTTTTCTAAAATACTAGAGGAGTTGGAGTAGATTGGTAAGGTTTTCTGGCTTTCCATAGTAACTATAGTACAACACATGCACGCGAGCACACACACACAAAGTTACTGGAATTCAAAATGCTTGGGGAGAAAGGAGAAAAGAATTTGCATGGGATATGATTATGAGTTTTGTTTCTGGAGTGAAAGCAGATTCCAGGCTAAAGATGGGCTCATACCTGCATCCTCAATGCCAACTGTAAATTTCCACTCCTGAGCCACTGTTTTGTTCCCCATTCCAACCTGGAGGACTTCAGGGATCCAACAAATCAATGAAGTAGACCTTGCAAGCCTGAAGTCTGCACTGATGCGAAGTAATATCTGTATTGTCACATCCCGGTGATAAATTGTTTCCTTATGTGATCTTTCTCCTTGTAAGCCAGCTGGAAGATGGCGCCTTCTTGCAATTGGGCTATTCCACTGCGTCTGTTAAATCTGATGCATCTTCTTGTGGTTTCATCACAGAATTGAAATCCAAGCATTACATGAAGAGTGTTTTCTTTCCTGCTTTTGTGCTACACACCTTTTAGGTGGCATTGTGATTTGGCAAAATAGCTCAAGTGCTCAAAAGGAAATCACACGTTCTTTCATGGTCAGAAATAACCATTTTCCCTGTGCTTAAAAATAAACCATGGATAGCACCGTTTACAAATGGAAATGAAAATGGAGGGACATGATGTTGCCTAAGAACCTGAAAATAAAATAACCATGAGCGGGAAGCAAAGAATACACATTAGGGGGCTTCCCTTGCCCCTCTCCTCTTTTTGGAAAAGAGGAGATGTTCCTGTAATTCATCAAAGAAGGCTCTCAAATCAGAAGCCTAAATCTGGAACAACTGGTAGTAATTGTTTAGGGGGTTCCACATGACAGTGTCTTTCTGGAAAAGCACCTTTTTTGTAATGTATTAATAGGAATAGTGACACTTATATTCTCTTTACACTTGTCTGTGGGTATGTGGAGCAACTCTCAGTGGGGTTACTAAGAGGGGATCTATATTCATTTATCAAGATACGCTTTCTATTTATAGTAAGCATTTATCTTTCAGGATTGATAGGTGACTAAATGCAACATCTATTATGGTAGCTGCCTTAGGGCTCAATACTTAGTACACTTAGATAGCAAAAGTCACACAGTTCTTTGAATTCCTCTGCCAAAAATGCGATGAAGACTTTTTTTTAACCCACTCTCCAATCTGTCATCCCCATTCCTCCATGGTGTCCCCTGGGATACCTACATGAGGACTGAGGAAGTGTGAGATGCCCCAAGCCCCTCCCTGAGCCTGACCATTCATTGAGCCCAACTCAGTGCATCAAGTGTAATTGTGGACAGTGATATGCAAGAAGTTTTGAGGAAACAGTTTATTTCCTTTGCTGAGCTTGTAGTAGTATGGTCAGAACTTGTGCCTCTCTTCCAATGCAAAAAGCTAAATATCCATCTAGATCGGATTTCATCATCTTTCATTCATAAAAAGGCAGAATTTGTTAAGGTAAGACTAAAACAGCCTGGCAAAATAATGAGAAATTGTTCAATTCCACATCCCTCCCCTAGAACACTAGTACTTCTCAGTGAGTGCTATCTTCATGTAGTAACCTCAAGCTATGAAATTACATATGGGGGCTGTCAGCTTATTAGGAATGTCTTAGTAGATCAGCATGAGTTTTGGTCAGTTAATAAATTGATTAAGCTTGAATATAAGTAAATTAGTTTTGCCGTAAAAAACATACTTTATTTTCAGACGATGTCTGCATAGGTCATAGAGGGCATCTTAGAAGTGATATTCTGTGTAAGAGTTGAGAAAATTTCTCTTTTTAAAATACATGTGTTTAAATTATAATACTCTATTCCCCATTAATTAAGCATACCTTTCTACTTGATCATTGGCTTTTTAGCAGCCTTATAAATATGAGGAAAAATATAATGGAATGTCTCTTTGTACAACCAATTAGAAAATGGAATGTTTTGCCACACAGACGGCAGCACTATCATTATAAACTATACAAAGACAGAACTGAAACATAAGTTGAGGGACATGATATGGAAAAACCTAAGGTATTATAGGAAAAGAAACAGATCTGTGTTGGATCCTGATTCGGTGATCCTTAAGAAAGAATCATTGAAAAATGAAATGGACTGAATGTAAGTCATTGTCTTAACTAACTTAAGTGATATTTATTTTAGTGGATTTACTCTAAAGTATGACTGGTTTCAACTGAAAGTGTATTGTGTATTTGTATTAAAATCCAATTCTATCTCAAAATGTATGACCACAAAGTGCTAAAATGGGAGGAAAAGGGAGCAATTAAGAGCCAAGTATTGTTTGGCTTATCTTTGCATCCTGCTGAGCCAGTACATCATGTATATATATTTCATCAAAACTTACAAAATGTGGAATTCATGTTGAGGACTGTGCCTGGTAAGTTAGACTATTTGTTAAAGGTTATTCTTCAAAGTTATAATCTTTGACCCATATTCCTCCTTGGAAATATCCTAAGCATGAGAATATCCCATTCACCATAGCTCATACTGACCATTATTCTCTGGGAATTGCTGCTGCTAAATCTTGTCTAACATTAACTCTTATGGCTTGTCATCAGTATAATACACCATATGGACCACAGAATCTCTTTCTTTCTATGTTTCGCTGTCTCTCTGTCTCTATTTTTCTTTCTCACTACTCAGACAATTTTCTTTTAGCAAATTGTCATAACCAACTTTGTTATAACAAGCAATCAATGGAAAAATAATTTTTTGAGGTTTGAAGATGGAATCTTTATACCAACATATTTTAACAATTTTTTGGGGGGGTGGGAGTGAGAAAGCAGTTTTCTGACTTGTACTGCAATGATTAGTGGGAAAGAAATGAAGGAACTTTTCACTGCTTTTTAAATTATCAAGCTGATACAATTTTAAAGCTGTAAAGATACCAAACATAGAACAGAATAAAACATAGGAAGAAAAGGTTCTTAATGGAATGATCATTGTCTTCTAATACAAAGCTCCACAATTAAATAATTTGCTTATCATACAACAATTATAGGTAACTGATACTGCAAATAAGTTTAGGTGAACATAGAACGATTCCTCCAAAAGACAGTTTTTTATTTACCTCAAAATAAAGACCAACCATTTCCGTTGGACCTAGAGACCATGTAAGCAGGACGCAAACCAGCGTATGTTTTAGATTGTACTTTAAAGAATTATTGGACACAAATGATAAAATCAGCAATCTTTTCTGTGAATTATCTCATTGTTTCATTATCTATTCTAGAATCACCTTGTTTTTGTCTTTTTTTCCCCATTCCAACCACCACCAATCCTCTCCACATAACCTGATATCCAGAAAAGATTGGGTGACAATCCACCATTTCATTTAAGTGTAGACCCAAGACTGCTGATAAAATTCTGACTCCAGAAAAGAACTATTTAAAAGGCAGAGCTCTGGGCCAGCAAAATACATAAGAGAGCTTTTTGAGAGACCTGCAGATACTTGCAAAAACACGGGATATTGAATTGTGGATTCTGGTATGTATATTCTTCCTTATATCTCCCTCTTCTAGACTGGTTTCTGGATTATTACAATATGAAAGAATAAATGTGCGTGTACACCAGCCCAACATGGTGACTTCCAGATAATTTGGACTGCAACTTCTATCATCCCCAGCCAACATGGCCAGTTGCCTGTGTGATGGAAGTTGTAGTCCAAAATGTCTGGAGGTTGCCATGTTGGAAAAGGCTGATATAAACCAAGGGATGTGAATCTTTTCTTAAACTACTTTCCTAAAGTTTGCCTGTCCCAAATAGCAACCAATAAGCCAGGGAAAGCCAACATGTAAATTACCCTGGCCTTCAATAGACCCACTTCAGCAGCAGGACATTGACCAAAATATTGGTGGTTTGCTGCTAAATTTCGACTGCAAACTGTGGAAAGGGACAGATTTGGGACCTTTTCAGCTTTCAGGTAAATAGCTGATGTTTTTCTTGGTGCAGCTGCTGGAATATGGACCTGGTAGTCCAGGGAGCAATAACATGTCCCCTGAAGTTTCCATCCCTGCATTAGGCTAGTCTAGCTTTTACACATACATTAAATACACACATAATATGCATAGCAGCTGTGGTGGTGAAAACTCTCAGCAAAAAAATGCATGAGTTGTGAAAAACTGAGAAAGACAGAGCAATCCGAACCCCTAGCCTAGATCCATTGGCTGGAAAGGATCAGAATGTGGTAGTTACATTCTGCTGATGGCAGAGAATTGCCATACAGGGGAATGAGACCAGGTGGCTTCCAGGTAAGCCAGTAGAAAGCTCTAGGGGCACAGTTCTGCTGCTGCTTTCAGGCTCATTTAGGGAGAATCCCTTTTCTTGCATGCTGGGTGTGCAGCTGGAAAGTAACAGTTTTGTTGTTGACATGTCTTGGAAAAAACTCAACAGTATCCTTCACATGAGAATACCCTACCCCCCCCAAGCAATCAGAGAGATATTTAATTTTAGGCAAAGCAGCAGAACTACAAATCATACTGCTTTGTTAGAAGTTTGCAGTTTGGGGTTTTCTTCTCCATTGATCCCAAAGATTAGGGTTTTCTTCTCCCACTGCTCCTTTCTTAGACTGCACATGTGTGCAGTTTAGGAAAACAAGCTTCTGGTATATTAAAAAATCTCCTATCCACGCACTTCTGTCCATATCTAGGGACCTGCATGCTTAATTGTAAGCAAAAAGTGCCAGTGTGCCTAGTGGTTAGAGCATTGGACTGGGACTTGAGAGGCCCAGGTTCTAGTCTCCACTTAACCGTGTAGCTCAATAGGTGACTTTGGGCAGTCATTGACTTTTACCATGAGCTGCTTCACAGGGCTGTTGTGAGGATTAATTCATGCACGCTGCCTTGGCCACCTTGGAGAAAAATGTATTTGACATATAAATGTCAAACAAATAACCAAAAAGAAAGCGAACATAAATTGCATGCTGTGCATTTAAGGGTGTGTACTGTGCAAATACAGCAAGATGCCTCTTCAGGCTGTCTCTGAAGCATGGACCACGCCTTGTGTGGTGAAGTTACACATAGGCCGCGAGCGGGGAAGAACCTGTCAAGAGGAAAGCTCGCTTGAGCACACACGGGCCTTTCCCACAGTCTCCCACAGGAGCAGCATGCACAGGTCTTCCGCAGGATTGCAGCACTATCACCTGGACCTGCCCCTTGTTAGCACACTCAGGCAAGGTGGGAAGCCACATCCTGTTCTCATTTTGTTGTAATCATACTCACATTAACCAAGCTGATATAAGAGACCTTATTAAAGGGCATTGCTGAGATAGGAAAAAAATAGTGTTATGTCTTAAAGGTGCCAATTTCCTGAACTGAAACGAACATTAAGAGTGGAAACCGTCAGAATATTTCCACCTGTCTGCTTTTAGGTGTAGACAAGATGAGATGATGCAGCTATTTTGTTTGGTTGGCTGGGGGGAAGAAACAGCAAAAAACCAGCACTGGGGGGCTGATGTTAACCTTTTCTGCCTAACATGGACCATTTCTATGATTAATGTTACTCAGCCTCCCCATCAGAGAATGGGGAGGCTGAGTACTGGGGGACCCAACAACTGTTTGCAAAGTTATTAAAGTTTGTCACAGGTCTCCTAGCTTTGACCTTCAGGTAAAAAGCTTCAGGATCATCACAACAACCCATCTTTGCATCATTTCCCCAACAGTTGTCTGACCCTCAAACAACCCCCTGCCACCTAAGTTTGTGCAGCATGACAAGACACAACAAGACTGTTATCCATGGGAAAATTAAGCCGTAGTTGGTTGTTGTGTTGTGCAAACCAGGTCAGAGAGTAAGAAAATCATACTAAGTGAAGTGGGAGATCCCAACAATTTGGCTGTAGAGCCCCTGAAGCTGCTGCCCACATTGAAATGAAAGGGGAAGCCCACATACTCAACCCCTGTGCATACCTCAGGATTAACTTTTTGTGGCTAAAAATGGACAGGAAACAAACCTGAGGAAGAGAAAACTGAGTTTTCACTCAAGCGCATGCTATAAGACAATGAACTATCTGCACTTAGTCAGTGGTTCTAGATTTCTAAAACAAAACAAAATACTGAAACATTGGTAAAGGTGTAAAAGATTCCCCGATGGGTAAAAACTACTGGGAGGTGTGAGAACACAGGACACAATTCTGTCCCACTAAAATTGGGAAACTATGCAATGCATTTCTTTATGTGTCCAATTGAGTTCGGTGGGGTTTACTTCCAGGTAAGTGAGTAAAGCAGCCTTATCCAACCTGGGGAAGTGTTGGACCCACAAATTTCATCATCCTTAGCAAGCATGTCCATTAGCAGTGCTGCTAGGGGATGCTGGGAATTATAGTCCAGCACATCTGCAGGGAACCAGGTTGTGGAAGGCAGAAGTAAACAATCGCAGTGTCACAGATATCCACTGTGTACTTATACTAACTTTTTACTTACTAACTTTTGTTGGGTCGCCCTCATATTCAGAAGGGAGAGGCTGAAAAAGGTAATTTCCTTATCTGGATCACACAACTGAAGAGCTCCATGATGTAACACGTGTAAGTGCTATGCATGTGAAATAAGGCTCCACTGCTAACTACACTCCATTGCTAACTACACTTTTATATTTTCTTTCGCAAACAAGTATTCACCATGGCTGAAGATGTTGAGACGACCACTGATTATGACTATGAGGGACTGTTGCCTGTATGTGATAAAATGGATCTTCAGATGTCTGGAAGAGTCTTTCTGCCAATACTTTATGGCCTTGTGTTTACCATTGGATTAGTGGGAAATTCTCTGGTGGTTTTTACCATTTTGAAAAGTTGGCATCAAAAGAGCATCACTGACATATTTCTCCTGAACCTGGCCATCTCCGATCTTCTCTTTGTGGTTTCTCTTCCCTTTTGGGCTTCTTATATCATACATGGATGGACACTTGGGAACCTTTCCTGCCAAATAGTGGCCTCTTTCTATTCAGTGGGCTTCTTTGGAGGCATGCTTTTCATCTCTGTCATCAGTATTGATAGGTACCTAGCTATTGTCTGTGCAACTTTTGTTATGAAAACCAGAACAGCAAACCATGCCTATCCCATTAGCGTTACAATATGGGTACTGGCAATTTTATTTGCAGCTCCCCATTTTGCATTCATCCAAAAGTCAGAGAACAAATGCACTTCTTTGTATCCAGTACAACTTGAGGAAATCTGGCCTCTTTTCAGCTACATGGAAATCAACATCTTAGGGTTCCTTCTCCCACTCTGTATCATGATTTTCTGTTACTTGAGGATCATTAAAACTTTATACTCCTGCAAAACTAATCGGAAAAAAAGAGCCATCAGATTGATTTTAATGGTGGTAATCGTGTTTTTTCTGTTTTGGACCCCATACCATGTATCACTTTTACTGCAAGTGTTACGTATCTATGGTGTTTTTAATACTTGCAGCTCCTTAAGGCTACTAGATTACATGGTGCATGTGACGGAGCCACTAGCTTTCAGCCACTGCTGCCTTAATCCAATCATCTATGCTTTTGCTGGAGAAAAATTCAGAAAATACCTGTATCAGCTTGTCCTCAGGTGCCTGTCATTCATTTGTTTCTGTGTGCCTCGCAGCCAGCATTGTGGGAGAGCTCCAGTTCCCATTCCTGAGGCTGCATTTACCAGCAACCAGACCCAAAATACCAGTGACCCTGATGGCTCTACCCTGCTCTGATGGTTTACTGGTGGACAAATTGGAAAGTATTTGGATACTGAGTACTGAGCAATTACTTTGCCTACCCGTGACCAAACATGTTGCTTTCTTCACTACCCTTGTCAAACCAGCAGTATTTACACACTGCATGTATTCCTTTGCATTGCAGTTATTCATTTTAGGGCTAGAAATGTTGTAATTCTTTTGCATATTCCTGATATTGCTATTTGTGCCCAACCTTGCATGTGTGGTTTTTGAACAAACAGGAAGCAGTGGTGTACTTAGCTAGTTTCCCACTGATCCTTCTATTAATATTTTACTGAAGTGGAGAAAGGACATGGTCCCAGAACCTCTGGTTTGCAACAGCACAGATGGATGCAGGGAAGAGTAAAAATATTACCCTAGACTGCTGTAGCATCAAGAACTCCATTCTCTTTGTGTTTAGCTATGTGTTTGACTCCAGTTTGCTAGGCTAGAGTAGCATATAGTGTCCAAACGACCTGTGATTCAGTTATTTCGAGGTGCTGCTGGGCCAAAGTCAGGTTGCACTGAAGGGATTGTGGTCCTGTGGAAACTCTCACCCTCCTCTACAGCAATGGGGATCGCTGCTCCAACCAGCCTGTTAGATCTTCCTTGAGCCATCAGGAGTCTAAGCTTAAAAAGTGGAGGAGTGGGGCTAGAACCAGCCTTTTGGCTTTGTTTGTATGATTCAGTTTGCTTTTGAGCGTGCCATTCTTTGGATTCCAAACTTGGATGCTATTAGAAGATGCTTAGATAACATATAGGGCAGATCAAGGCAAATATATACTGTTTTTGCACAAAATATCTTTCCAAAATTTTCTTTAATTTCTGTATGCCTTTTTATCCCTCTTGCCTTGGCCATGTTGTAAATAAATCTAATTTCCACCACTAGATCTCTGTGTGCTTTCTCCCAAATCAGTCTCACACTACATCCAGAGTCCTTCTGCTTGGTTACTTGGTTTCTGGTTTAAGGCTTATGAATAGGGTTTAAGGCTTATGAAGGTGATGCTCCATTTTTAACCCTCAAGAATGCTCTTCAAGGCTTGCAAATCCCACAGCTTACCTCTGGTGAAACTGCAGGTAACCTTGGTAATTGTTTCTCCCTGCCAACACTACTGCCAGTTCAAGCACTCCCTTTCACCTTTCACATGCAATAGCTCCCTGTCCATATAGTTCTTTGCACTGCCTTAAATCCCATACTTCCCTAGAGTAATGTTCCTCTCCTTCCTCCCTCTTCTTCCCCTCTCATTGTGCCCTGTATCCAGACTACGAGGGTGGAAACAAAAGGACAAAATGATCTTCAGAGCCAGTGTGCTGTGGTGGTGAGAGTGTGGACTGGGGACCTGGGAGATCTGGGTTCTGGCCACCACTCAGCCATGAAGCTCACTGGGTGACTTTAGGCCAGTCACAGACTCTCAGAGTAACCTACCCAACAGGACTGTTGTTGCAAGGATAAAATAGAGAGCAGGAGTACCCTGTAACCTGCCTCAGGTTCCTTGAAAAAGAAAAGAAGGCAGAGTAAAAAGATAATGCGATGGTGATGGTGATGATATTCCAATCCACACAAATGATTCACTCAGCTGAAACAGCATCAAACTATTATAGTCACTTTAATTCATATATTTTGCAATTACGTTCTGTCTCAAGAGGAAGAGAGAGTGGGAGAGGAACTGAAGGAAGAAAAGGAACCAATGCACCTGAGAACTGGCAACAACAAACCTCATAATCCACTGATTGTTTTCATAAAATGTGCAACTCCTGTGAAAGGAGAAGAATCCTTCAGGTAAAGACAAAAATTCCACAAGTGCAGCAAAACAAAGACAGAAGGCATCAGCCTAGGAAAATATTGCATGCCTGGACAGGGTTTTAGCAAGACCAAAAACAAGTTGACAGGCTAGACAATTTAACCACTTCTGTTTTTGTCCTGTGGACCAAATTTGAGTTTGTTCTGCTTTGAAACTATGGCATGTAGGAACTCTTTAACAGAAAACAAGTGAAACACAACTTTTCAAAAGCTTGCTTTAGGTATTACACAATGCTGGAATTTGCTTGTGTAGTTTGCCTCTCCCCTTACCTCACCAGCAAGATGGGAGCAGAACCTGAAGAAGAGATTTACATTGTAAACATACATATCGAGTTTCATCGCAATATCTGGGGACATTATACTCCAATGTAGTTTGCATTTTCCTCCTTCCTTAAAAATAAAGATCAGCAGTGGAGGTGGGATGTGAGCTGTTGTTCAAATACAGAATTGTGTCATGAACATGTGCCCCAAATTTCACTGGGAAAATTTGATGTTTAAGGTAGATACCATGTTATAAGAAAAAAGCAAGCTAGCAAATACATAATGCTGAGATACTGGGGTGCTGGAGATGTAGATCAAGCACAAGGTAGCTCTCTGCATGTTTCAGACTTCAGTCCCCAGAAAGCCCTGCCAGCATGGCCAAAGATCAAGAATGCTGGGAAATGAAGTCCCAGACAACTTAAGATCTACTTTCCGTCCACCCTGATCCAGATGACAGTGCAATTGTCATAGTCACTGTGTTTGTGCACCCTATATGAAATGGAAGTGGAAGAAAGTCCTTCTTTAAGAGAGCATTTTCCTCAAGGGTGTTGGATTTATATAACTAGAAGCAAATTTACTTCTCTAAGTGCATCATGTATTCAGAAATGTCAAACTCTTTTATCTGAGTGCCAGTCCTTTTGCAATTCAAATGGTACCATCCACAATGAAGGGAAAGGTTTCACTGGAGAATCCAAAGGTTGGCATTACAGAAACCATCTTTAGGAAAAAAATGTCCTAGAGCAAGCAAAGGAACCTGCTGCAAAAAGTGCAGGACTGAACATGTTCACTTGGCATGAATTAACTGCTTCTCGGGCCATGCCAAATGGAAAACCAGTGGAGGGGAAAAAGAGAAAGGGGGCATAGTTGCTTGGCTAAAACCCTGAACAGGAGAAGCCCGGATTGCAACATTTTGTTGTAAGTTGCATTTATGAACATATTAATGCCAAACTCATTCTCTGAATGACTAGCCTTACGAGGCCAAAGTGGTCCCACCGTGCACAAGTGGGAGGTATGAGCACGCCTGGGAATAACATGAGGGGGTGCAGAAAAGAAACTGTAGAAGAAATGAGTAGGAGAGGATTTCCTGCGATTTCACATGCTGAGTGCCATTTTGTGTGTGGGGTGGGGCGGGGCGGGAGGCAACTGAGGGAGAGGAGAAATGCCACAGAGTGGCGGGAAGCCTGAGCAGGAACACTCTGAGCTGCGACATGTTGTTGCAGGTCCCACCCATAGATTCTTCCCGATCCAAAGCAGCCTTCCTGAGCCTGGCACCATTCAGATGTGTTGAATTCCAACTCCCATCATTCCTGGCCAGGGTGGAAAGATGGGAATTGCAGTCCAACACATATGAGGACACCAGGTTGGGGAACGCTGAAACATTCACTAGAAAGTGAAGGAGACACATACATAGTGGAACTATGTAGGAACAATAGTCACAGACCCTTCTCAATAAGCCCATGGACATCTGTGGAATTTGCATGAAAGTGTGTTGTTTTTATTTGCCATCAAGTCATCTCTGACTTATGGTGAACTTGTGAATGAATGACCTCCAAAGTGGCCCCCTTGACAGCTCTGCCCACCTCTAGTAAGCTTAAGACTTCATTTATGGTATCAAGCCAGGTCATATTTGGTTATATTTGTCACCTGCTTTTGATTCTACCTAGCATTATTGTTTTCTCCAGTGAGTCTTGCCTTCTCATGACATGGCCCAGGGATGTTAGCCCCAGTTTCATATATTTTGCTTCCCGGGAAAGTTCTGACTTGCTTTGACCTAGAATTCATTTGTTCATATTTCTGACAGTCCAGGGTATTTACAGGGCTCTCCTTCAGCATCATCTTTCAAACATACCAAATGTCAAATGTCTTCACTGTCCAAATTTCTCACTCGTACACAGATACCAGGAATACAATAGTGTGGATGATCTTGGCCTTGGTGTCCAAGGAAACATTTGTATACCTGCTTATCTTTTCTAGTTCCTTCACTGCTGCCGTTCCAAGGCTCAGTCTTTGAACTTCTTGATTGCAGTCTCCATTTGAATTGATGATTGAGTCAAGCTAAGTAAAATCTTTCACAACTTCAATTCCTTCATTGCTGATATTAAAGATATTTAGTTCTTCTGTATTTGTGATTTTTTTTCTTTTCTTAATGTTCAGCTGCAGTCCTCCTTTTGAACTTTAATCTTTCACTTTCATCAAGAATCATTTCACTTCAATACTCCTTTCAGACAGTAATATGGTATTACCAGCATATCTGAAATTATTGGTGTAAATTTCTCCATTTTTCGATTCTGTTCCCTCTGCAACTTTTCTTATATTTTCTGGGTACAGGTTAAACAGGTAGGCAGATAAAATACACCTGTCTGACATCTTTGCCTATAGGAAAAAATTCTCTTTCTCCACATTCTGTCCACAGTACAGGTTACACGTCAGGACAATTGAATGCTGGGGCAATCCCATTCTTTTCTGAACCGTCTGTGACTTCTCATGATCCACACTGTCATAGTTTCATTGCAGTCCGTATGACCTAGACCATGGGTCCTCAAACTACGGCCCTCGGGACGGATCCGGCCCGCCATGGCCATCCATCTGGCCTGTGCCACCATTCGCCACCCACTCAGAGATGGTCACCGAACGAGCAGCTTGAAATAGTTCTGTTTGCTTTGTTACTTTCAAGTGCTTTCATGGCAGTGTTCACTTCACATTCTAATATTTCAGGTTCTCCCTCCTAGGATTCCTCATCAAAGGAGTCTGTCATCTTTTCAGCTCTTCTATATAGTTCCTCTGTATGTCATTCCTGTGTTCTCTTCATTTTATCTTGGTCAGACAGGGTTTTTTTTACCTCTAAATATAAAGTTAGTGTCACTAAGACCTGTCAGGAAATTTAACCAATAGGAAGGTATTTCATGTCTAATGCCTTTTCTAAGAATGCCCAGCAAATATATAATCAAGAAACCCTATGTCTATATCATTACACAAATGTAAAATAATATGAATCAATAAAATATTTATTATTTTACATAATAATGTTACTAGAGGAATGAAATGCCTGAAGAAACAAAGGAGGGCTCTTGAAAGCTTTATAAAGCACTGGAACATAATTCTGTACATCATCCTTGTAGAAAATAGATTCCTACAAGTTCTGGCATAGGTAGCCAGGGAATGCTGGAATTGCAGGAACAAGTGCCTATAGGTTTAATGCCATGGCCTGTCAACATCTTCTGGGTGGCCAGCCAAGGTTTATTCCAAGTCCCAGCCTTGAGTTTTTGAGATCCCAAAGCTGGGACTATGAAGGCTGAGCCTTCCTTACGGCTTGTACAGCGAGAAGGCTGCTTTGAATGAGCTTCACTCTTGGTAGAGGATGCATATGACCCGACTTCAGAGGTTCATATACTCCAAGGGCACAGGGCATAGGATTGTACTCTTAAGGTTCTAGCACATATTAAAAGTCACTAAACATAACTAAACACTCCTTCAAAAACTATGGGAAATAGAAAAAGTGGAGAAGTTACCACTACACTCTTTTCAGAGTTGCAAACAGAACAGAAGTGTTAGAATCTAGATGCAAATTTGGATGCAGGTTTCATGCAGACAATATCTGTGCTCACTGTTATTTATGAAAACATTATAGCTCTGAGGTTTCGAATAATGATCCACCCATGCTGAGCTTGCACAATACCTTCTGGGAAGTTGCATGAAGAAAGAGTTCTCATCAGTTTCTTGTGGGAGGGATTAACTTCTCAAAAATACTCAGCATTTCCAGAAAAGGCAGCAGATCCTATTGCCTAGTTCCACAAACCTTATTTTATGGCTCCTTGCCACCCTGCTG